CATCAAACTGATAGGCTGAGTGAATAGGCTCATATATTAATGTCAAGGATGAATTAAGGTTTAGAAGTCATCAGCATGAGAGTCACAATTAAAACCACAAGAGAAGCCAAAATCATGTAAGTAGAGAGCTCAGTATGGAACCCTAGGGCACCTCAAGATTAAGCAATTGGCAGAAAAGGAAGCACTCACAAGATGGAGGAGGAAAGTTCCGGCAGAGAAAAGAAAGAAGAGTGTCACAGAAACTAAGAGAACAGACAGTTTAAAGACTGAATGGGAGAGCAGCCCAACAAATCCAACAGAAAGCACTGTTGATATATAGACTGGATTCAGCTTTCATTAGGAAAAGCAACATGAAGGTCACACGTAACCATCAGAGCAGACACTACTGGTGCCTTGCCCACAACCCCTTGCCCTTACCGCTCTTGTGCTCAGCCCCACTTCCAGGTGCTAGCACTTGCCTTTCTTTTCCTGAGGGGTTATACCTTGCTGCTGCAGCCCACTTTGCTGTCTAATAAGCTAGATGTGTCAAAGAATAAATGCCCCCACCCTCAAAGCAGCATTGGCTGACTAATGACTGACAAGAACTGGTTATAAATATCCCAGTTCCTCCACCCCTCCGATGAGATAACTGATGCACATGTCTACACTATTCCCCAGGGATCCTCAGCAGGACTAACGCTCCAGGAACCCATGGTGACAATTGGTTAATGCTTTTTTTTTAATTGGCTCTTTCCCTTCCTTGTCTTACTTCCCACCTTCCCCTAGTGTCCCCTTCACCTCCCAAATAAATTTCTTGCCCTTGCATCATTACATCTGGAGGAATCTGCACGAGAGGAATTCCAGGATCAGGAAGTCCTATGGGAAGAAATCAGAACATGATTAATTGAAGAGCAAATGGGATTTGAGGAACTAAAGATGACGAGTTTACACTATTCATTTTTAAATTTGTATAAGGTAGAAAGAAAACTGGATAGGGCTAGATGTGAACACACAGTCAATATGAGAGAGCAAAACATGCTGAAATGCTAATGAGAAAGAGACAAGATACAGAGGCTGAAGTGGTCAAGCGGGGTAGATAAGTTGTGCAGCAAGACACCAAAGGAGACAAGAGGCAGGAAGATCACAGGGAGGGTGGGGGACTGGCCTCATCAGAAAACGAAGGCTTCATCTCCTGAAGCTGAGGAGAAGGATTTAAAGACAGATACATATTCTGATGAATGTGTGGGGGCTGGTGGAACCAGGACAGTCTGGGGAGTGGCTGGGGTGCATCCATTTGTGGTAGCACCAACCCACTAGGCTACAAAGCTTTCCCCAAACTGCTCAGCAGCTCTGTGCACACATGACCATGCTCAGCAGTTGAAAAACCAATGCAGGCAGGTTGTAAGCTTGATCTAGAATCGGGGATTTATAAAACGAGTGCTGAAGGAGGATGAGAGACAATTGGGTTAAGGCTATCAGAGAGGGAGTAGTTAACCATGTGGTCTGGACCAGGTAAGGACCTGTGACCAGGTAGAGGTTATTACACTGCAAAACAACATACAGCTCCCAGGACCGAAAGCCTCTCTGGCTAACCCAGGCCTCTGCAAAAGCATCTGCTTTGCGTACGCATTGTGATATAGGGACCACCAGGATGTATAAAGGCCTGCTCCCAGATAGGATAGACTATATGGCATACGTAGGGCAAGATTCAAGAGTTCAGTCACCCAAACTCATAAAAGCAATAATGCAACCTGAGGCACAGGCTGAACAGAAAGCAAAGAACTCAGGCCTTTTCCCTAGCTCTGCTGTGACTTGGAAAACTACAGCCTTCCAGGCTGCTTGTGTGCAGGGCTCAATTTAATAAAACACGCTGTGCAGAAAAAAAAATGAGTCAAAGGCACACACAGCACTGCCCCATATATGTGACTGACTGACTCCAAATTAACCACCCACAGCCACAGCAGTTTTCAAAGAACCACGAATTCCCCAGCTCCCAAAAGCAGAGCACTGAAACCAAAAGAGGCCCACAATATACCTGTTAAACACAAAGGCAATGACGACATTGTGAAATCCTAAAATCTTAGAATTGAGAGGACAGAATAAACTAAGAGGGAGATGCCTGGGTTTCCTTCTATACAATATTAAGAATGCTACCATGTTTAATCAGGATGCTGGAAATCATATAATCGGTTTCTAAGATTTCATCATTCATTGGTTTTTGAGAAGACCTATTCAAGGGAGTTAGGAACCCAATTAGGCCTTTGCCAAAATTATTTAACCTCTAAAAGCAATACCTCAGAAACAGCACCATTTCAGAAAGCAAACTGGTTTCAGAAAATCTTTTTTACTCTTTCTTCATGTGCAAGTTAGTAGCTCTGCTTAAGAGCAAATTTTTCCCATCAACCTGCCTCTCACTCCTTTGATTCAAAACAGTCAATCAGTACCAATAAAAGGAATAGGCAATATGGTGAAGAAGTGCCTCAAACACGTTACCTGAAGACCTTTGGAAATCTAAGAAGGAAAAATGAATATCTCAAGTAGGACTCAGATGGTGCATAAGTGAAGTCATGGGACATTATTAATGAGGCCTTTCAGATCCTCTGTTCCCAGGTAAGGGACCATGGCTGAGGAGAAAATAACAGCCTGTGAAGGCACCTTCTCTGATACCCACTGAGATTAGTCAACTGAAGGAGTCAAAGCACGCCAACACTAGGATATCTCCTAAGTTTAGGTTAGGGCCAGACAAATCTGTGGGTATGGTGAAGTTTGCTTTCATTGTCTTCTAACTCCTTTCCATGTCCTGCTTGAACTCCAGCCACCCAAAGCCACCATAGGTGACATGCCTTTTATACAATTAATTTCCTCTGTTTCATGTATTTTCTAACTACTTCCATATATCAATACTTACCTGTCCTAGGCCCCTTCTATTCAGGCATCTATAGAGGGTCTCAGTTAATGACTACGTAACCTGGTATACAACTAGCTATTAAAGTTTTAGTGACTAGTTACTTCCTTTACAAATTAAACTCTCCTAATTTTGTGCCTTTTTCATGTTTTCACTTTTGGTACCATAAATTTGTCACTTTCCATATTTCTTTACTTCATATCACAAATTATCTGAAATATTCATTTGTGGATAATTTAGGTCAGCGTTGCTCATTGTGTAGTCTGTGTGCTGTCTATGTAACTGTATCTTGTGGGGGTGAATGCCAGCTAAAAATGCAGATATCTGGGCCTTAGTAGTGACCAAAAAATCCACATTCTCTAGGGGCATCTTTAACATTCTCCCCCATTGACTATTCTTCCAACTAAATCAGTAAGCATCACATGACATCTACACACAGTAGATGCTATACAAGTGCTGGGTATCAGAGCAGACGTTAAGAATCTGAAATACAATGAACACCCACTACTAGCTTATAAACAGATTCAATTCCAAATAGTAAAGGGACTAAAAAGCAAGCATGTTGATATACCTTCAAAACAGTAGGAAAAAGAAATTGGCCAGGTATGTGTGTGTTGGGACAAGAACATAGAGGAAATCTCTGTACCTTCCCCTTAATTTTGCCGTGAAACTTAAACTGCTCTAAAAAAAAAAAAAAAAAAAAAAAAAAAAAAAAAAAAACAGGCCAAAGAGGCCAGGTGCAGTGGCTCATGCCTATAATCCCAGTACTTTTGGAGGCCGAGGCGGGTGGATCACAAGGTCAGGAATTCGAGACCAGAACCCCATCACTACTAAAAACAAAAAAAAAATTTAGCCAGGTGTGGTGGCAGGCCCCTGCAGTCCCAGATACTTGGGAGGCTGAAGCAGAAGAACGGCTTGAACCTGGGAAGCAGAGGTTGCAGTGAGCCGAGATCGCACCGCTGCACTCCAGCCTGGGCGATGGAATGAGACTCCATCTCAAAAAGAAGAAAAAATAAAATCTAAAGAAAAAAAACAAACTGGCCTACTAAAATAGGGTAGATAAATGTGTACCTCTGGCTCTCCTTTTCTGTCTACATGGGTCACCCTGCCTTTGCTGTCTACTTATCCTAGCCTAATGTCCCTTGTAAAGCCCCAAACACCTGTGGCAGAGCCAGTAATTCCCTGCTTATGGGTTTCATGGTCCAGAGTGCATGCATATTATGAGGACATTAGGACACGGATGCCTACACGATGACACCTTTCTCTTTTTTTTTTTTTTCCGAGACGGAGTCTTGCTCTGTCGCCAGGCTGGAGTGCAGTGGGGCAATCTAGGCTCACTGCAACCTCCGCCTCCTAGGTTCAAACGATTCTTCCGCCTCAGCCTCCCGAGTAGCTGGGACCAGAGGCGCACCATCAGGCCCTGCTAATTTTTTTTTGTATTTTTAGTAGAGACTGGGTTTCACCATGTTGGCCAGGATGGTCTCGATCTCTTGACCTCGTGATCCGCCCACCTCAGCCTCCCAAAGTGTTGGGATTACAGGGGTGAGCCACCGCGCCCAGCCGACACCTATCGTCTTATTTGAACAAGACATCTCCTGAATTTAGTCCTGGTGAATCCCACGCCGCGCGGCTGGCCCGCCGCCACAGCCCCCTCCCCCAGCACGGCATGCGGAACTCTTCCGGTGTGCAGTGGGGTCTGCCGAGTGCGTGGGTGATTGGCACTGCCGCTGAGGCTGACGTCAGATGAAGCGAGTCATCCGAAGACGGAGGGATGGTCCGCTGGATCATCACCGTCTCCTTTTACACACACGGATACTGGTCAGAGTCGCCATTCCTCCTCACCCTGAGGCACGGGCATGGAGGAACGCGCTTATTCAACCTGGCACCGCGGTCAGTCGTCTCAATGGACACAACTTCCCGTCCCATTAGACAGTGGACGCAACGGCCACGGCCTCCTGGAGCAGGCGCGAGAGCTCCGGGGGAAGCCAGGAGCCACACCCGGTATGTCAGCCGGAGGGGACTGGACGCAGGGAGCTGACGTCACAGGCTTGGCGACAAGGCGGAAGGGGCCGTGGGGACCGCCCCGTGTTAGTAAACGCAGGACACGGCTACTAACCTTAGGGCTGGGGGAGCACAAGGGAAGAGATGGTGTTACCAGAACCTAGGAGCTTTGACGGGGGACCCCCCGCGGCTGGCGCCCGGCCCTCGGACGGGGCTGCTGCGCGGCGATTGCTTGGCCTTCTGAGGGGGACGCTGCTTGGCGGGCGGCGGTCGGACCTCTGGGCGGGGGCGTGGCTGACGCTCTGACCTCGGAGGGGACCGTGGCTTGGCTGGCGCTCTGACCACCGCGGGGGGCGTAGCTGGCTGTTTCTTGGGCCTCTGAGGGGACGTGGCGCGGCGCCTGGTTCTGAGAGGGCCAAAAGAAGCTGGAGGCGGGAGCCTGGACGCTCCTCGGCTGCTTAAGCGACGCTGGCTGGAGCTGGAAACTGGCGGGAAGGCCCTGCTCCCCCACCCAGCTTCCGGTCGCCCTGGAACGCCTTCCGGGTCGGAGCCTGACCCCGAGCCGACCGCGGGAAGAGCGGGGTGCGCAGCGGGGAGGGCGGGCGGCTCACCTGGTCTTCTGGCAGGCGCAGCAGATCCAGTCCTCCTCCTTCTTCTGGTAGAAGCAGCCGCTCTTACAGATGCTGTATTTCCGATCCACTATCTCCTTCTTGGAGTTGAGGAAGGTGAACGGCGGGCAGCAGTGGATGCTGAAGTGCTCGGAGTACCTCTGGTTTTTGGAGAGTCTGGGACCCTCCTTGGCCGTTTTCTGACTCATCTCACTGGAAATCGCCGATGCAGGGAGGCGGGAGGAGACAGAAACGCGCATCAGGCGAGCGAGCCCGCTGCTCAGGAAGCCCACCCCATGCTGCTCCCGTAGTCCAGGGTAACATTCAGGGACGTCCTGCCCTGCGAGCAAAACCCTGCAGGACCAACTTCCCCGCAACTCCGTGGAAAGGAGCTCAACTGAGAGAGAGTTCATTTTCATTTGTGTATTTTTAAAAATCGTGTTTTCAGGGAGAAAAAGAAACTTGGGCTCTTGTTTTCCTTATGTGTTAGAGACCCATGTAAGACAGGAAAACGTTTAAAACATATCCTTGACTAAATAATATTCCAGAGCTAGGAAAAGCCTTTTCTCTAAAGAGAAAAAAAAAAACCAGCTTATTATTAAAACAATCATCATTCATGCAATAAAATACTACACAACAAGGAAAAAGAGCAAACTACTGACAACGTCAACACCTTTGACACCACAGATTTAATGTTGAACAAAAGAAAACAAGCTGTATAGCTGATTTTGTCTGAGATTCAAGAACAGGTAAAACTAATCGATGGTGCTAGAAATCAGAGCATAGTTGTATTTGAAGAAGGTGGGCTCTGACTCAGAAGGGGCAACAGGGGAGCTAGCAGGGGACTGAAAACGTTCCTTTTCGGAATGTGACAAACACAGAAATAGTCCTGCCTACCATTACAAAATGCCAAAGCCCACAGGGAATAGGTAACAATCAATCAACAAGAGTCTACATAGTTGATGGGCATAAACCGGATACTGACAATGTCTCTGCTCTCAGCAGACTCAGGGTCAAGTTGGAGACACAGATGTGCAGAATGTGATTACAAACAGTGTTATGTTGACCAATGCAGGTGTGTGCAAAGGTCAAGGAAAGCATGGAAAAGGGATGGATTCCTTGAAGACAGAACCAATAATCTGGGTTTTTAAGGACGAGTACAGAAAACTAAATAACACTGAGGGGATATTCTAATTTTTTCTTCAGTTAGTGTGGTTGTCTTCTGCTACGAATAGAAACGACAGCTGAGAAGCAGGTAGAATACAGTTACAAATACATTTTTTGGCACTTCTGTTTGTGATCTTCCAAATTATGTGTCATATCTGTTATGTAGATTAAAAATATTCTTTCCCAATATTTCACCTGCTTTTATCATGCAAAAATAATTAGTTTTATGTTTAAGTACCTTAGTTCTTATTAAAGGTTTTATATTTTTCCCAGGAAGTTTTCCCCATTCCATCAGCTTTTAAGATGCTCATGATGCCCCATTTTAAAAGAAAATCCTCTCTGGATCCTGCTCCCACGTCTTTTTGCTCCCCTATTACCTTCCTTTTTTATATAGGCCAGGTTCTTGAAAAGTTATTAATACTTTTTTCCTCCATCTTTACATCTCCCACTCACTCACTCATCAGTGCACCCCACTCTGGCTCCCGGTCCTTTCCTCCCAAGGAAAAATGGCTCTATGTAGCTCTCCATGGACCTCCGTGCTGCTAAACCAGTTGTCTTCATATTTGGTCTCTCTCCGTCTCAACTCTTACCTGTGACACCACATTCTAAATCTCCTTCTCTATCTTTAGCCTCTCCTTGTCCATTTCCATTATAGGCTCATCTGCTTTTGCCAAACCTTTAATTTTTTTAAATCCTAAACTTTTATAGTTATTTAAGGTGTAATAAAGACTAAATGATTAATGAAGTTACCTTCACCCATTTAATTTAACATTTATTTTATACTTTAGTTGTGCCTGGCACAGTGCTCGGTTCACGTGCTGGACACAAAGCTAAATCATGCTTAGTGCAGCCCCAAAGAAACTTATCCACCAGTGGAGATACAGGCAAGTGATTATAATGCATATAATATGCTAATGACCAGAAAACTCTCATTTACTGAGACTAAATAACTACAAGTCACTGAGATGAAGAAGGGGGTAGATCAGATAAGCATCCTGCTCACAGCTAGCTCACATTGTAGGTAGAGGAAGGTCCACAGACATCAGTAAGTGTGATACAAAGGCAGCATGCTCTAGAACATAAGAATGTGCTGGTGCAATGGCATGAAAAGTCACAGAAGAGAGGGCAATATGATGGGCTAGAGAACAAGGTAAAACTTCATGGGCAGAAGCATTTCATCTAGCTGAAGGTGAAGGCTTGGGAATGGCTGATACCTAAGCAGATACACAGAGGTGAATTGCATTACCCTGAGAGCCCTCATCGTGTCAGGGAGAGGTAATAGAGCCAGGACACAGGCAATGAGGCAGGACAAGAGTTACCTTTCACTGTGAAGTGTCTAGCCCGGGTGACTGGGAACACAGTCATGCTATCTGCTAATCAGAGGTCTAACTAGATGAGAAGGAGGGGGATCATCTTATTGGTCTGAGATACTGTGAGTTTAAAGAGCCAAGGACATCCATGAAGAAATGGGCACCCAAAACTCCGGACCTAAAGCTCTCATCTTGAGAGCCGTTCACCTCATGGAAGGGGGCACAACCTTGGGCATGGATCAGATATGTTCTCAGCGAGGAGTCAGGCAAGGGAAGGCTCCCAGGACAAGGACTGGACCTATCTTCAAGCTGCAGGAAGAAGGCATAACGGGTATTCAGAGAGGTAAGTTGAGTAGCAGTCTCCTAGGAGAGAAATTGCTGAATTTCCAAAGGAGGAGATGATCAGATATACTCAAAGGAGCCCTTTATCCAGACAGGTACGTATAGACCAGTGAGAAGTTGCAGTTGACTTATAGGGTCAGATTCATTGCAAAGACCCTAAACGTCTGCTAAGCCCTTTCCCAAGTCCTACATAGGTCACTAAGTTCAGCTAGAGTTTCTCCTCCCATGGGCAATAATGAAATGAAACACTTCAGGACTAACCTTCAAGAGTAATTTATTCAGGTGCCCAGCACATGGAGACTATGTTACTCAGCTTTTCACAGGCAACCCAGATGTCCCCAATTCCTCCAGCCTGCTAGGGTCACCTTTTCCCAAACGGCTCAGGCACCCATCACAAATAACAGAAAATCTAGCTCTTACCCCAACTTTTTAAGAAATAACTAATATGGGATAAGAAGGAGATCTGAAGTCCACTGTGACTCTGAATTCCTTCCCTAATTGAATTCTCAAATCCCATTCACTGCTCCCGCTGATGTGATGCCTGGGTTACTGTGTGCCCATCTGCACCCCTGCCCAGCCATCTTTTCCCCCGGCAGTTGGGGGGAAAGTTGTTTCTTACTCCGTGACAATTTCCCTCACTGTCTCCCCTGACCATGTCCGCCAGGGGGCAGCATCAGCTCTAGTTATCCATCAGCACGTGGTCATGAAAAAAGCAATTCTCTTCCCTGGAAGAACCCCGCCATTCCTAGCACAACCACCTGAAAATGCATCTTACTTTCAAAGTAATATTTTCTCCCTCCTTTAGTAAAATGTTTATATTTTTGAAAAGACTAGGCTCCTCTTTTCCCTGGTGTTGGGATACCTGGTTAAATGGTTCTATATACTGCCTCCCCCAACTGTTGGCCCCATGCCACCCTCCAATTTTAAACCACTAAGCCCCACATGCTAAACAAGAGGCATCGTTTCCTAACGCACCAGCATTGCTAGTAAATTCCTTGGAAATACAGGCTGTTAAATTAATTTTAGCCTAAAGCCACATCCTTACATATTTTAAGTTTCACCTAATGGTTTATTTGTACATAGTAAACTGTAACCTAACTGGGTGTGTACATTGTAACCCAGTCTTATACCAATCACAGAGCTTTGGCCAATGACAGAGCTTTGGCGAATCACAGCCAACTGTGTTCAAATAAGGAAAGTTCCAGCTGTAACCAGTCCAGCTGTTTCTGCACCTCACTTCCGGTTTCTATTTGTCACTTTCCTTTCTCTGTCTATCAGTGTTTTCTGACTGTGTGGCAGCCCTGGAGTCCTTCTGAACCTATTCTGGTTCTGGGGACCGTCTGATCTGTGAATTGTTCTTTGCTGAATTAAACTCTGTTAAATTGAATTTGTCTTATTAAAAGTTTTTCCTTTAATAAAGCAAATACAGCAAGAAGTAACAATTTACTGAGCACCATTGTGTATGGTTGTTTTGCATACTTTATCTCATTTTATAACATGGTGTTATCAACAAACTAAAGATGGAGAGTCTAAGGAACATGACTAAGTCCATAAGCCAGTAAGAGACAGCAAGGGATTTGAATACCTATCTGTGTGACCAGGTCCAACACTGCTTTGTGCTTCTTAAAGACTCAACCCTCCTCCCAAGAAATAGGAGTCCAGGTTCCAGGGCCAAACTAGACTTCGGGGGACTAGAGATGAACCCAGGGGTGGGATGAGGCTCAGAAATCCATGGGTCTATGTCCTAGGGTGAAAAAGACTGAAAGTTGGGGAAACAAATCACTCCAGAAGAGAAAGGTAGAGAATGGAGTTTGGAGCCTTCCCAACAATAAAGACCCTTCTGTAGCCAGAAGGGTCCCTGTCGGGGACTAGTAGTAAGCTGGGATGGGCCCTGAGGGAATGCGACCCACAGACACTTCTGCAGCTCGTCGCCTCCAGTCCGTTAGTGGATTTAAAAATATATGTTCACTGCTGAAACTTAGAAAACTCGGATGGATGAAAATAATACACCCAGTGCTGTGGCTCATACCTGTAATCCCAGCCCTTTGAGAGGCCAAGGCAGGCAGATCACTTGAGGTCAGGGGTTTGAGACCAGCTTGGTCAACACGGTTGAAACCCCTGTCTCTACTAAAAATATGAAAGTTAACCAGGTTGGGTGCGGTGGCTCGCGCCTGTAATCCCAGCAATTTGGGACGCCAAGGAGGGCAAATCACCTGAGGTTGAGAGTTCGAGACCAGCCTGACCAACATGGAGAAACCCATCTCTACTTAAAACACAAAATTAGCCAGCTAATTACAGGTGCATTCCTGTAATCCCAGCTACTCGGGAGGATGAGGCAGGAGAATCCCTTGAACCTGGGAGGCAGAGGTTGTGGTGAGCCGAGATCACATCACT